ATATATATATATATATATATTAAATTCAAATTTATATTAGTATAAATGTATTAGTGAGATAATATATTAAGATAATATATTAATTATTTCACAAGCTGGCCATAAGATGCTCATATTTAATGTTCTGGCTAAAAATGAATGCTGATTAAAAAGGTGAAAAATAGATTAAAATTATATTGTAACGCTGATTAAAAAATGTGAAAACTATTGCTTTTAGACTTAAACGGACAAAGTCTATGAAAGTAACTCATTTAATATCTCAATATTATACGTCGCACGGGGTATGTACTAGTTCTTAATCGCTAGAAAAACCTTTCTTTAGAGTGTACATTTTCAAAATTCAAAATACATTAGGAAGATTTTTGAAAAGTCAGAAAATCAGTTTTTTCATCATTTTACGCGACATCTTTTCATTGTTAAAAGATAAGAATACTATCATTATTTAATACAAGTCCTAAAGTTTTGAAAATCTATATTAATTTTGAGGATATGAAACTTATCCTTAATAATCTCCTAATGACTTTCAAGATTTTGCATCTCAAGCATGGCCTATGATTTTCACGCATTTTATCCATTTTTTCTTCCTCGTGCAAAATATTGTGTACTTTGGTTTCAATACCAAACACATTATATGATTGGCTAAAAATGATTTTTATTTATTTATTTTTTTAATTTTTTTTTTCTAACCTCAAATTATATGATTGCCAATGAAATATGAACTCGAACACATTATTGTGAATTCCTTTCTTGATTTTATTTCAAAAATACTTATTTCATATTCTATATTAATTCAAAACGTGTTGAGCTAAGTGATAGACTCGCATGCTTCGTGATCATATGTGAAAAAATTATATGATTCGTTATTAGGCTTGGAAGATTTTAATTTACTTTTAATCAAAAAATAATTAGGTCTGAATTATCTATAAATATGTTGATTATTTATGGTCATATTACATGTATTAATTGTATTTTCATATAATTTCTTATTTATAATTAACTGTTGAATTGTAAATGTATTTTAAAAGTTAATAACTTTTGTATTTTTTTTATTAGTTTTACATATATAATATATCAAATTAATCATTTTTTGATGAACATCGATTTGACATCCATATTGTATGTATAAAATAATAAATTATATTTATCTTTATAACAATAATAAAATTATTTTTTAATATTAATTAGAAAAATAAAATTATTTATCAATTAATATATTCATATTTCAAGTAGTTATATGATATAAGTTAAAAAAACTATTATAATAAAACACATGCATGTCACACAAATAACATGTGTCATTCTAAAATATGTAATAATATATATTATTTAATGAAAAAGTAAATAAAAATAAAATTTAAATAATTTTTCTCATTAATTTTAAAATTTAAGAATAATTTTTTAACAAACACCCGTGTAATACACAGATGTTGTATTGATACTCTTTTATTGAGAAAAAAAAAATAATAATTATATTCACATTTTCAACATATATCTCATTATTCACCAAAGCATGATATTCAGTATATTGCATTTTGTGATATTAATCATAACCTTTCAATCACGATGAGCAATTTTTTTTTTTTTTTTTGAATTAATTGGAAGACTTCATTGAACCATTTCAATTTGAATATCTTTAATTTTCAAATTCTTCCACTATTTATATTCAATATTCTTTTTTTGTTCTCATGGTATTATTTTCCTCCTAGAATAAAAACTTATACTAAGTAAAGTGTTCCTATTTCTTTATCGACCGGCTGTTATGATTCGGTTTGGAACTTCCGGTTCATGGTTTCGACTTTGGCTTTTCGGGAGCGAACTGAATAAATAAATAAATAAATATTAACAATATTTACCAATATACATTAATTTTTTAAAAAATAATAGCAGTGGACATTTTATCGAATGCTCGAAAAATATTTTCCTAACACTACTAGATATCGGTGGATTAGTAACCAAAATTTGTAACAAAATGTAAGTTGTTACAGTAGTAACAATGAATTAGATTAATTGTTGATGTCTTTTATCTTCCCCAATAACTATTATTTATGTAATTATACAATTTAGTATTCAGTTCAAAGTCAAAAAAATAAATCCATGTAAAGTTGTTTAAGATTGGAAATTCTCCTAAAAGAGATGTCCCATAATTTATTTATTTTTTAAAATCTATATATACATAACTCGAAAAATTGCAGTACAAAAATTACATCACCAATTGGTCAATTGATCTATATCATTTTGGAAACAAAATGTTCACAAATTTGAAAACAAACAATCAAATCAAACTAAAGGATAGGGGAATAACAATTATAAAAATTACCTAACAAATAGTAACCCAACAAAAGACGAAAGATTTATTTTTGGCAACAAGTACAAAATATCTGTTTATGTATTTATATATATGCGGTTTTTTCAAATATTATGTATATGTTGGAGAGATTTGCATGATCTTATTAATTTGAGATTTTTGTAGAAAACTCAAATTAATCCTAACATTTCAATTATATGTCTGCTAATTTGTATACCATTGTACAGAATATATTCCTCAATATGCAATGTGGGACTATATTAATTTAAAACAATTCTAGAAAGACGTTGATTAATTTTATTTATTTATTTTTTTTTTTTAAATTCCAATGTCCATTTTCATGATCTGATAAACATTTTCCTGCATGTGCATTTAGGTTAATTTTGATGTCTTTTTTTCAGGCTTAGTCATGAACAGACCCAACAGCCCATGTACAATTTAGGTCTATAAAGTCAAATAATAGTCCAAACTCAAAGCCCAACAACCCAAAAACACTCACAAAAACCAAAAAAAAAAAATAATAATAATAATAATTAAAAAAAAAATCACACAAAATATACACAGAAATAATAATAATAATAATAATAATAATAATAATAATAATAATAATAATAATAATAATAATAATAATAATAATAATAATAATAATGTGGGCTGTTTTTTACCAAAATCATTTAGATACATTCTGCAGCACGAGTAATGCTCTTTTATACTCACAATAAACACGTGTTAATATGCCCACCGTTTATGTGACATGCACACATTGGTGATGTTAATATGTTAAAAAAAATACATCACTAATGTGTGCATGCCACATAAGCGGTGGACATGTTAACATGTGCCCACCGTGAGTACGGGAGCAGAGTCAAATCTCAATAGGCAAAATTAATGTTTAAAACGTGAGTTTTCAAGCCATTGCCATGATTAATTTGAGCTCTTGAGAGTGATAAGTTTCATGAAAGAGCCCCAATTGAATATTCAAGTAAATTTTGCTTCAGAAAATTTATTGGATATTAATAAATTTATATTGAAAACTATTGGTCAATATAAAATTTTGTGTTGAGAAAATCAATATTTCAAGATATGATAGGTATGGGGGAAGTTACTTTAATCCTGTTTTCGAGCTTCACAAATACTACTATTTATCGTTAAAATCGGTTGTTCAATCGTCGATGAATGTTTGATGAATAATCTTCTTTTAACTTTTAAATTAATATTCCAACATCAATTTATGTTTGAGATTGATATTCCAACATCAGTTGTGGAATAATTTAAAGAAACCAGTGACTCGTAAGGTCAGCTCGTCTTGTTAAGGCCTTTACTCAGCTTGTTTGTTATTTAAGATTGTTTAATTAACGAACTCGACTCGTTCAGACCCGCGAGTGTGAGTTTTCATGTAATTTTTTTATCATTTATCTTAACTTGACTCATTAAGGTTTGATTTTAATCGTCATATTGATAAACAAGTTAAGATTAAACTAGTTTAGTTAGCGAGTCAATCTGGAGATTGACAATCGATATAAGGGCAATAGTCTTCAAGCAAGATGAAATTTGTACAATGAAAGAGCCCAATTGAACCCACCTAACATGAGATTTTTTTTCAGTTTTTCTCTTTCAAAACTTCACAATGGACTTTTTGGGAGATTCCATGAAGCTTATACTTGAAAATGGAGATTAAATCTCGACTCATTGCATATAAATAGTAACCATTGACTTATTGGGACCGTTTCATTTTTGTAGGCTGGTCCGGCCTATTGCTCAGGCAAATAGCAGGCTTGGAAACAGTTGAGGCGCGAGTCAGAACTGCCACCAGTCATGGTTCCCTTGCCTTGGCGAGTGCTATAAGGGCTAGTGTCCTCCGTGGGTGACCAGAATCAGGGATGGGGTATCAGTTTCACTGAAGGAAGTCCCTTTCCGGAAGGACTGAGGGTCGATGTAATTGAGGTTAATGAACCCCTTGCTTTTCGGAATAACTATGACAAGAGTGATGAAAGTATCCTTGAAGGTACGGCATGTTCCAGAACTAAGGAGCCTTCATAATTCGGTCCACCTGAATCCCCTTCCTCCCCCGCCCTCAGAGCTGATTCGACGGGATGCCTAAGAGCAGCGGATTCTTCCTTCATTTTTCTCCAACAAGGAGGAAATAGTAAAAATTGTGACAAGAGCAATTAGTGAACAAACTAAGAAGAAGGCAGCTCTGGTGGGTTTTGTGCAATTGTTCTAAGATTTCACTTAAAAAGCCCATCTATTGTCACAACTTATAAATGGGCCTCGAGTGTTAACATACTCCTGGGCTTTAGCTAATCCCACTTTTATAATAGCAAAACCTATAAAGTGAGGCTTATAAGCCACACCAAAACATCTTAAAAATGCCGTTAAATCTGAACTATTGTATATAATCAACACGATTAACTTAAACCCCACCAGCATCTGAACTAATATAACATCTCCTCAGTTAAAAATCAATAACACCATAAATGATAAGACCAAAAATATCCAACTTTGATATAAATGTCAAAACTCAAAACCGATAGTCGAGAAAGAACAAGCCAAATAAAAAACCAAACCGCCGAGTCTTAAATAAGACACTGTCACAACATAAACATAGCTGCAAGAAACAGAAACTCAAAACACTGTTTTTCTTCTTAACGAGTACAGTAGGGAAGGTAACTAAATAAAAGGCCCCGACTTGAGCTCACTCTTCGTCTTCCTCATCTCCATCACCACCAGAGGCTTTCTTTGCTGCCGCCTTTAGGTTCTTTCTCTTCACTCTTCCAGCACGGCCCCCACCGAAAGGACTCGTGAGAGAGAAGTCAATGTGCTTCTGTGAGTCAACCCTCACCATGAATGAAGGCACGTTCACAACCTGCCTCCCCACCCTGGAGTACAAAAGAAAATTAGTGCACGAATGAGCAATTTCCCAATTAACAAAATGAGCAACTGCAGAATGATATAAATTGTGAGACTGTTTGTTGAAGATTAGGTGCCCAAGCAGCAATTGTCAAGATTGGATCTCCCGAGGAAAATTCATAATTCATGCAAAGGAACAGAATCACAATCAATGGAGTGCAATGCAAGTCGAAATACTTGAACAAGCAAACATAATGCCGCCCCTTAATACAAATTCATTGCAGAACACAACATTAAAATCTAGCACAAGAAAGATAATTGCTTCTATGTTACAGTTCATAAAACAGCAAGAAACTATTGAAAAGTAAAATAAAATCGAGACACCAATTGTGATCGATATATACCTGATATGCCTTTGCCTGATGAGAACTCTAGCATGGTGAATGGACTTGGCCATGCCGGCCTTGAACACGAGCGTCTGGAGACGGCGCTCGAGGAAGTTCTCCACAGTGAGGGCAAGGACATAATCGAGCTTGTTCTGGCTTTCGTCCAGCAGGCCATACCTGTTCATCCTCCTCAAGAGTGCCTCACCCTCGAAAATACGGCGGGGATCCTTCTCGTCCAGAGTCAGAAGATTCCTAGCATTGTTCCTAATACGGCTCAGAGCATACTGAACCCTCCAAAGCTCCCTCTTGCATCTCAGACCATATTCTCCAACAAGCTTGAGCTCAGCATCGAGTCTTTCCTTCTCATATGGACGTCTTGGCTTCTTGAATGTCTTCCCATCTGCAACAAGTCATGGTTAACAACACTTTAACAACCTTGTGCAAGACTCACTTTCTAATTGCTTTTCCTTTTCCTTCATTTTGCGTAATTTCCACTTGTATTTCGTATTTTAAACTCTGAATGATAAATGGAGTAATTCATATGGATATCTATATTATATCCATCCTCATCTGTAACACTAATAGCAATCTTTAGATACAATCACTCATCAATAAAGCTTCTTGCTTTTTCAAAAAGTAGCACAAGAACAATTCGTATTTGCATACAGATTAACAAAAATCATAAATAAAAAAACAAAAGCAAACAAAAAAACCACCAAAACAGGGTAATGTAAACATCGAAAGAGTAACTACCCAGAATCATGTGTTCCAATCAGCTGCTAATGAAACAAGATCACTGTTACTTGAACATAAAACAAAATCACAACGCCATGGGCACACAGAGAGAACCAAAAACAAAATAAATCACCTAGATTCGGTTCCCGGGACAAAATTACAAGAATCAATCAATCATCAACTACATAGATATCCTCCGAAGCAAGACAATCAATAGACAATACGATGGAAGACGACGAACACACAAAAAATGGGATCACAAAAATGAAAGAAATCGAGATGTGCCGATAATGTATGCATATGTGTGTACAAAAAAGAGCTGAAAGAAGAAGCTACGGGCTGCTTACAGTTCCGATAAAACGAGACGTGCACCATGGTTGTTCTCCTCCGTCGCCGCCGCCGATGCGAGCGTTGCTCCGCCGATGTGGTGCAGCTGATAGCAGTAGGAAATGGACACTAGGGTTTCAAATGAAAAAAATTGGGAGATGGGTATATATTCCCTTTCTTGGAAGGCCTAAACCCTAATGGGCCTTCTGAAGTGGGTTAAGTGAGTTGGGCCAATAGAATTTACATTTTGGGCCTTTCTAAACCAACGGCCCACAAAGACGAGATAAAATTAGGAGAAAATTACCCAGTAGACAAACAAAACAAAGAAATATTGCATCTATACGAATAAAATTATTTCTTTGCAAACATAACAAATCTGTCAAAAATAATTACACTAATACAATATGCACTTACAACCTTTTTTATAGATAATTATTAAAGAGGTAGTTTTTGAATGGTAACTTCCTAATTTATTGGGATTCTAAATGTAACCCCATGACCATTAACGTTTTTTTCTCTCAGTAATCATCCATGAACACAACTACCTCCATTAATTTACTTTACTTTTCACTCCATCTTCCTAAATCATTTTTTTTCTCCTTCACTGTTCGTTTTTAAAAAAAAAAATTCAACAAAAATGCCCGACTATTTATTTTGTTAAATGAAAACTTGTATAATGATTTTTCTCGATTCTTCTGAAGAAAACCAGCACGGTCGCCGCAAAATAAAACAGGGCTCCGTAAATCGGCCATGGAGAAGGCGAAGAAGAAGAAGACAAAGAGGCTGAGTGAGTTAAAACGCCTGAGGCCGAGAAGAAGAGATAGGGGCACGGTGAGATTAGAGGACGATAGTGGAGGGAGGCGGAGGAAGAGGAGAGAGAGGGCTAGGGTGCGGAGAAAGAGAGGACAAGTGGTGGTGGGAGAGGGCTAGGGTGCGGAGAAAGAGAGGACAAGTGGTGGTGGGATAGGAGGCAGAGATGATGGGATGAGGAATTGCAGAGACGGTGAAAGTGGCAGCGGCACCGTCGCAGGCAACAATGTGTACATAATTTGTATATGTTACGTATATTTGCATGGCAAAATTGCATTTTGTGTCCTGTAACTATACGTGTGTGGCAAATGTGGACAGCTTCTTTTTGGTTTGGCAAAAGCGCCCCAAAACTTGTTAAAACCCGGAATTCGTGCCCATTTACCTACAAGTTACCGGATTTGACCGGTTTTTCGTGTGACAAAACAGGACAGTAACTTGTTAAAATTCGAAATTTGTGCCAAAATTGAGCACGAATTTCGAGTTTTAACAAGTTTCAGAGCACTTTTGCCAAACTAAAAAGAAGTTGTCCACATTTGCCACACACTCCTAGTTACGGGGCATAAAATACAATTTTGCCATATTTGCATATAATTAATTTTGTATTAGATAGTTTAGAAGTTGTTATCAATCAACACCAGTAGGTTGTATATGTTCAGTATATGTAATGTATATGCGACATTTTTTTGTGTCGTGGGATTTTTTTTGGAGCATGTTCATTAACATAATTTTCTTTTTGTATATCTTCTGTATATATTGTGTATATAATGACTATATTGATTTATCTTCTATATATATACTTTCTTTTGTGTCAACTATATACAATGAGTATATATGATGTATATGTTCTCGAAAAAATATACAGTCTTTTTAATAGATGTTAAGGTCAACAATATATTTTTAGTATATGTACATGAGTACGATTTCAACTTGTTTTATATACTGTAAATATACGTAATTTTATCTGATTGTCATCAGCAATTTGTTGTTTTGGTATAATAGAAAATTATTGCAACATATACTGAATATATACGTTTAATGTACATTTAATATACACTATTAACATGTTGCGATGCTAAAAAATAAACAAAAAGCAGTTCAATAAGTAAAAAATACGTGTGTTTGGCGAAATAAATTTTTACTATTGTGAAATTTGTGTATATCAAGAAGAAAAATCGTTTGTAATTAAAATTCATAATCTTTCCTATTTGTATTGAACAAACTCCTAATTAATAGGAGAGAGAAAGGGAGAACGAGAGAGAGAGAGAGAGTTAGAGAGAGAGAGAGAGAGAGAGAGAGAGAAAGAGAGAGAGAGGCGTACCTCCACAAATTAAGGAAAAGTTTCATTTCAGTTTGGTAACTGAAATCCTGGCATTTTTTAATTAATTACCATGTAGTTGGTAAAAATGCAATAAAATATATGTTCATGATATAGTTACAATTACTTTCAATCCGTTAAGTAAAGTTAAAATTTTCCCTAAAATTAGGATCAGAACATCCATGCTTTAGTAAAAGTATAAATGCCGCTATCAAGGTAAAAAATCTACATACATTGTAAAATTTGGGTGTAAGAATTTTAGATATCATGGTGTATTTAATTCTGATTTGTTAAGACTTTTTAAAAATTTTTAAAAATCATGGGATTTTCAAAAGTTTTACAAAATCCCGAGGTATTTAATTTATTTGATACTGGAATTTATTAAGGCTTTTTAAGATTTGGTGGGATTTCTAACAAAAAAATCTTATATCGAAATCTCACTTCAAATTCGACCCCCATAATTGAGATTTTGTAGAATTCTTCATAAATCTAAAAATCTTAAAAAGTTTCAAATCTTAAAATGTCTTAAAATGTCACTTAAATTCCCAATTGAATACATTATACACCCCCCCTAT